CAATTTACCGTATATGCCTCGAATAAAATATCAAGTTAGCTGAAGTCACATACCAAAAATATATTTATGGGGAGGGGGGCAAGCGAACTTCCGAAACAAAATGCATCTCACCTTATGTGTGATGTTGTATATGTATGGACAGGTTTGACAGCCGAATCTGTAACATTTTTCACCCTCTTCCGCTACCAGCAAGTTGGCGCAGGTTGGACAAAATAAAAGCATTTTCAAGTAAGAAACGAAGAAAGTTCTGACGATGATATTCCACTGAGAGTAGGGGTCGGAGGTCGCGCACGTACATGTATCTCCCTGTTCATTACCGCGAATTCGCATCAGATTCGCACAAAAAAATTACACAACATTTCATGATAACAATGTAATTTCCCGTCATTTTTCTTGTTTATAATAATTATACATAAATTTAAGAAGATACCTTTGTGTTTTGAGCAAATACTAATGACTATCCGTGTTCAGCGAATGTACGTGCTCAAACGTAATGCTGGTTTTACGTTCATTACCACAGCAACCGAAGGCGCCAGAATTTTGCAGTTTGAGCTTGATGATTTTAGAGGGAGGAGAGAGGAAGGCTGTTTACAAATATAACTAAACAGAGACAAGAAACCCCAGTTCCTCAGCTTGACTCACGTCTTGAGGCATTTCTGGCCCATGTCACTTTTACCCTAGAGTGCCTTGATTTTGGAAGATACACGATGGTCAGAAGTAAGTGAAGTTGTTTACAAACTACAATTTCAGTAGATATGTTACATATCTATTATGTATGTGTAACGTTTATATGTGCTTGTAGTAATATAGATAGTTGCGATAGTACCTTCAGTGATAGACAATAGCATATCACACGGTCTTGTAAAGATGTGCAAGGGTATGAGTTTTTACAGAGTTTATAACAAAGTATATAACGTATGTATAGGTGTATATAAAATATATGATTAATTTGATTTCAGTCACAGAAGACCTGATTCGGAAGAGGGCGGAACATAATGAGTGTGAGATATATTCTCTTCAAGAAATCTCCCTCCACCAACAAGGAGTAGAAAGGTATATATATGTATGCTTGATCTCCCCCATTCAACTTTGTTTCTCCTTACAACTGGTAGCTCTACTAGCTTGTACAGAAATTTTGGGATTTGATAGATAACAATATTTCTGTAACCCTTCACCCCTAACTCTGGCCCAGCCCTGGTCTTTGAACCAACATCAACCTTAAATGGAAAAGTTCAAGTCAAGGTCATTAATGCATCTATTCACAATAATGTTATCTAGCCTTTGAGAAGTTAGGCTGTGTCTTTTTGTGTGTTTTCTTGTGTTTCTGTAGTCATTTTCACATGCCAGACAAGTTTGCGTGAGTGACAGGAAGTTAGGTCAAAGGTCTAGTTTACCTCTTTTCCTGTCCGCAACTTTCTGCCACATGCATGTCAGTTGGAAAATACAACGACAGAATTAGTAAGAAATTCTTGAAAAGATATTATATATTTATGTTCAAACAAAAAATTCATAATTATTATTTCACAGAAGTATGAGATCTTCAATTTCTCGTTTTGTTTTTGCAGGATAGAACACCTGGACAGATGGTGTAGAGACCTGAAGATTCTTTACTTACAGAACAATGTCATTCCAAAGATAGGTAATGTATATTTTTCATTGAGAGATGATACTGGTAAAGTTTTGATTTATCTCCCCAGATGAAGAACAGTTTTTGTTGAGAACAACAAAAGTCACATTTTCTACTTCCTACTAATTCTTTATAAAGTTAAATTATGGAAAGAGGTAGTGATTTTTTCTTCCCAATCATTGCCTTTCATAAGCATTTCTTATGTAGACTTGTAGTTTAGGGTACTACGTAGTTTAGCTTGGCGTAATTAATCCAGTTCAACTAGTAGTTTTTATTGCGTTATTGATTTTGCTAATGACATATTTCTTTTTTTTTTTCAGTTTTGTTGGTAGAATATTGATTGCTAATTCCTCTTAAGGGCACAGAGAGATGAACATCATCATCATGATCATAATTCACATAATAATGTACTCTGTATTATTGATCCTGGTAATGACAAATGACTTCTGTTTTTGTCTTGTCAGTAGAATGTTGATTACGTCCCTCTTAAGGGCATGGAGGTGAACATCATACCCATTTGTTTATTCACCCCTAGAAGGGACACTTCATAAGTTGATGACTGATGAGTATCATAAGAGACTAATAACATATAATGTCACAGGGCACTACAATATACTTGTATTAAGTATTTGCTTGTTCTAAAGATGATACAGAAGAGAAGTAATGTCTGCTGATGAAATCAAGGAAGAAAATGTAAGTCCTAGAAAAACTCTAAAGCTTGTCGAATGAAAACCATCCACCTTCTTTATTTATCTTCACTTCAACCTTTGCTACATTTATAGGCAATGTGTTTATACAGTACTACTAGAATATCCTGTTGGGAAATATTGATGTCCTGTTACTTGTTTACATAATTTCAGAACTCTCTTGTGGTTATACAAATAATTATAAGCTCAAACCAACCATGATAATGCAAACCTTTTGATTTGTGAAAAATAATTTTTGTTTTCCAGAAAATGTTGGGAGATTGAAGAAACTGGAGTATCTCAACCTCGCCCTCAACAATGTGGAAAGAATAGAGAACTTGGAAGGTAAAAATAAATCATGTACTTGAAAAGTCTGTTTTTTATCGCCTCTGTCGAGAAACTTGGGAGAGAAAGTTAATGTTTACTGATATGCCGCCACTGTGCTATCACATCTAAGCTAATGGACTTGTACGTGTGTAATGACTTTATCGATCATTCTACAGAAAATGTACCATGGGATTTTTGTAACACATGTACTTTCTATAGTATGGGTGTGAAACCAAAGTCAATCATGATGATAGCAACAAGCTATTGGTCCACATGAGGGGAGTATCCATTCCCTGGACTTAGCCTAGCTCTAGATCAAGATCATTTAAGAAGGGATGCAATCAGATAGAAGACGGGAACCAATCAATCAGGCTTACACCCTCTGACAGGTAACTGAAGTGAGAGGGATGAAAGTATGAATCAACTTGCCGTTTGCTACATGCATGGTAGAGATATAACACAGCTAAGCCTTCAACCAGACAGTGATATACATGTAATGTTGCACAGTTGTACATTTTGTCAGTTTCGAAATACTTCTGGACCAGTCAATCTGACCAGTGATGCTCATTGTACAAGTTATGTTTGTAGCTTACTATATCATTGAATGAATGGTGGTTGAACTATTTTTGACTTTGATGCAAACATTTTATCACTTTTTTTCCTTTGCATAGTATGTAAAATTTAGGGTTGATATGAATGTACTTTTTACTTCATTTGAATATTCAGAAACCTTTTAATACATCAGTTATAGATAAAACTCTGACTCATGTATGTTTTTAAGTTTGACGTTGCATAGAATCCAGAATGGCTGGGATGATTTCAGCCAAAATGATTTTCAGTCATATTGCTTATTTTATTCCCCCATAGGCTGTGAGTCTCTGAAAAAGCTGGACCTGACGGTGAATTTTGTGGGTGAGCTGACCGGTGTGGAACATCTCCAACAGAACCAATTCCTGGAAGAGCTGTGAGTTAATAGTCTGTCTCAAACACACTTTGATACAAAACAGTTTGATCTGCCTTGGATTTTTTCCAAGATTTTCTGCTGTGGAAGAGACTCTCAGGATTTGTTCGAGCGGGAGCTCAAACTGAGTAAGTACTAGTAGTTAATTGATCTAACGTTACCTTCAGGAACAATGACAGACTACAACTTGTTCCAGCAAATAAAATCTCTCAAACCTTTCACATGACATTTTGGAATGACAAAATTATTATATAATAGATATGTTATTATTACCTCACACATGTTCCAGCTTCCTACTGCTTTTGCTTTTACATAATGTATTTCCTTGTAAATGTGTATCAATCATTACTGCTGACACTATCACATTTTGCTAGGTATCTGACAGGGAACCCCTGCACAGACTTTGATGGTTACAGACAGTATGTGGTTACCACCCTACCTCAACTGAAGGTAAGAATATTTCCGTGGTCAAAGACAGCATCATATGTAAAATATCATATTGACTTCATTATAACAAAGCTAGTATTGGTTTTTATGATTTGTGCCTATTTTTGCAAATGTTTTGCCAGAAACCTGGTCTTACATGTTAGGTCTGGAATGATGTGAAAAGATATTGACAAAGTTTTCATTATCTTCAGAAGTTAGATGGAAAAGTGATCCAGAAAACTGAAAGAATCCTGGCAAGACAGGTAATTTTAAAAGTTCTATGTAATTGTAGTGTTGATATGTAACTTGTAAAATTGATGTAAGTTATTAAGAAAATAACATTGTTTTTTTCATTGTAATACTATATTTTGTATTATCTTGTCAAAATTTAGATGTTCTTCCTTTGCTCATCTTATAACTCCTTCTTAAAAATTATTTCACCTAATCTTTGTTTTTGTCCTGAAGAAAATATAAGGTTGTTGTGAAATTTAATATGTATTGCTGTTGCTTCCCACCACAACAGACATACAAATCACGTATTATATGTTCTCAACAGGATTATGAAGCAGTGAGGAAAAACATAATAGAACAACAGCAGGCATATGTCCAGAAAAGGGTTAGTGTATGCCCTGATTTTTACCTCCATGAAAAATGGAGGTATTGTTTTTGGCGCGTCTGTGTGTGTGTGTGTGTGTCTGTATGTGTGTGTTTCTGCACTTTTGTAGTCAGCATAATTTCATAACGCCTTTATGGATTGTGATTATATTTGGTATGATGGTAAGTCTTATGAAGACAAAGGTCAAGGTCGAATATGGACCTCCTGGTGGATGACCTTAGTACTGCAGCAGAACTTCCGGTTTTTGTATCTTTTGTCCTGAACATACTATGGTCTTGACTTTTTGGGGACAGATAGGTTTTCCTATCAGAAATAAGTGGTGTGGGTTTGGTCCCCCTAGCAGCTTGTGATGTGGGGTGTGGGGAAGAGTAGGGAGGTCTACGAGTGGGGTGTGGGGAAGAGTAGGGAGGTCTGCCAGTGGGGTGTAGGGAAGAGCAGGGAGGTCTACCAGTGAGGTGTGGGGAAGAGCAGGGAGGTCTACCAGTGGGGTGTGGGGAAGAGCAGGGAGGTCTACCAGTGGGGTGTGGGGAAGAGCAGGGTGGTCTACCAGTGGGGTG